TCGTCAGCGTGTAATGGTTCGGTAGTAGTAATATTTCGCCCACAGGCTGCAGCTTATTATGGGGTTTTCATCCAAATTAAAAATGGTGTTTTCAATAATTCTTAATTGGTGTCTTGACAAAATTGCAAGGATGTTGAGTCCAGAAAAAGAATTTGAATAGATCAGTCCTGAGTTAATCTATGACACACCTAATTCTACCATTTACCACCGATTTCTACCATTTTTATACTTATTGCACATCTCTTGTTAATTACTCTCTGATACTTTATGACATCCACGAAATTAGAAATTAGAGCATTAAATTATAACCGCTTCAGAAATATTTAGGTAAGTAATAATTTTTAAGTTAACTACAAAATTGAACTGAATTATTAAGTATATACATAATCAACATTTTAAAATAGCGATTCTGTGATTGTGAAGGTTTATGCAGATTTAATTGGGAAATATAAATTGCCCGATATACAGCTTTTCATAATAAACATTTCCTGAAGACTTGAATATCTGTACACATTCTAAGTGACAGACATGTTTAAAGAAGCTTTTATCAGAATATATTAAATTCTACCTAAGTTTATTTAAACGCGAATAAAATAATTTTAATCTGCTTTATGATCGTCTCATATTTATTTGTATATAAATTGGATTAACAAGGAAAAATACGTGATTTCTCTATATTGATATAAACTGTTTTATATTAATATTTTATAATACTGGCTATTATAAAATATTAATATAAAATTGTGCAACGTGTGGGGGGGGGGTTGTTTCCGAAACTTCAGCAACATATTTTGCAGATAAAAATAAGTAGAAAAGTTCGTATAAATGTATGCCCTAGAATGCTTAATTTCGCAGTTACAGGGTGTAGATGTTTCATATTTATTTCGATTTTTTCCAAATAATTTCTGAAGTAACGTCAATATTTGGATGAAAATTGGTGCTTGGGAGTTTTTTGACATGAGAAATTTGATTTTGATGTCAATATGACTTCTACCTGTAGAGGGCGCCTCCTACATATTTTTTAACTGGCTTGAAGAGTATAAAACTACTGAGTAAAAAAATATAGATTTCCGTGACTTTTTACGTAAAAAAGATCTCTTAATTCGCTACGAGTAAAGCTTGATTTTCATGCATCCGTTGTTCGACGATACGAAGATACGATATTAATTTTATTGGTTGAATTTAAAGACTTCGATTGGTTAGAAACGGTTACCCAATCGAAGCCTTTAAATACAACCAATGAAATTAATATCGTATCAACGTATCGTCGGACAACGGATGTATGAAAATCAAGCTTAATAGTTCTCGATATATTTGGAATCGAAATTATTAATACCTGTCGTCATTGACATAAATTAAACAAGTTGACAAATAGTTATTAGACTGAAATCATAAATTTGAAATGTTTTTGTGCCAAAAGTTCAATAGAAAGAGTTTTACCCGTTTTATCATATTTTTTTCGAAAAAAAATTATGATTAAAAATAAACAAAAAGTTCCCTAAGGGAAATATAGTATTTCTAGTATATCCTAGTTTCCTATAGGGAAAATCATGGTGAACATGCACAAGTCCACATCTGCTAGACCAGAAAACGGACTATACCTCACCAAACATGATTTAGGGGAAAAGATAAGGATTCGCATTTTGACAAGAGAAGAATGGGAAAGCAACAGAGTGATGAACACTCAAGAGATAGCAGTCTATATAGATGCTTCCGCAACTTCAGGAGGCGCAGGTAAAGGCATCTTCTCAGAGGAACTAGGCATCCGACGATCTTTAAGGCTATCAGATGGCTGTAAAGTTCTACAAGCAGAGGTTTGCGCCATAAAGGAAGCGGACCAATGGGGGATATCGTGATATATACTCTGGCAGCTTGGGTGCTTTAAAAAGCATCACCATGCAATCAGTGAGATTGAAAACTATGATGGAATGCCGAGAAACACTGTCCTGGCTGCGTCAAGGCGGGGCTACTCTGTGCTGGGTGCCAAGCCACAGCAATGTGGTGGGCAATCAAGAAGCAGACAGACTCGCCGAAGAGAGGGCCAGGGGAGAGGCCGTGGCAGATGACCCACCACTTGTGAAGATAAGCACACTGAAGGAAGCTATAGGAACTACCATCAAGGCCACGCAGCAATAGACATGGCAATTGCGCTACAGCTCGAAGACTATGGTCAGTGGTAGATTAGATTGGTAGATAGCAAAAAAGACAAAACAACTACTAGAGCACAAAAATAACCTAGTACGCATAATTGTAGGTGTCGTCACTGGAAACTGCCCCACAGGGGTAAACCTCATGAGATGGAAGATTTCCAACGACGACTACTGCAGAGAATGCGGAGAGGAAAAAGAAACCATAGATCACCTGCTGTGCCACTGTCCGACACTGGAATACCGACGCTTTAAAACTTTAGGGCAAGGTTTTTTGGAGGGACTAGAGGAAGCAGCAGAAGCCAACATCAGCGACATCGGGAACTTTGCAAAGAGCTGGAAGTGCTTTAATGCAAAGAAAGAATGAGAGGAAGGTTTGGTACCACAATACAGAGGTATCGCAATGGGCCCAAGGCCTCCGAGTGAGGGATCAAACATGATCCCAAACCCCAGCAGCCTAACCTAACCTAAGTTTAATCTACAACCTATGTAGCCATATTATCAAGATGTTATGTTTTTTAACTAACAATAATTAAAAAAATACCTTTTTTTTTCAAAAAAACTCAAAATTTTTTTTATATACTATATTTGCAATTATTTAAGACTGACTATGTATAATAAATGAAAGTAGTTGAATTATACAAGTTTGTAGCTGCGCTACAGTTTGTTTGTAGAAATTGTCTATTTTTTGGGAAATATATTTGTTAAATATTTCAGTAACAATTTTAATGAATGACAAATGCAATATTAGTTTAAAATAACCATTTTTGTAGATAAATGATTAAGAGTTGAATTTTAAACCATATTATTTTTAAACATATTAACTTAATTTTATTTCTTTTTTTTTCAGAATGTTATTCAAAACGTCGAAAATGTTCCATCAATCGCCGGTTTTTGTGCAGAACTAACAGTTTTGAGTGTTGTGAATGTGGAGATTCAAGAAAAAGTGCCCCAGGTGCATCGGCCACCTCCTGGTGGCACTATTTTTCGCTGTGATAGTGGCCGAAGTGACGACTAACGGTGCGGATATCACAGACTTTTTCTCGGTAAATGTTTTAAAAGATGGCGAGGTGGAAACTAGGATTTACTATAAAGGAGTAGCTGCTAAAGAAACCAGTGTAGGAAAGGGGTAAGTCATTTTGTTATATCAAAAGTTTGATCTGATCAAACGTTTGAATTAAGAAAATTTGATTAGGGTGTCCCAATATTCCGTAGACATAGAACTACTACGTATATTTGGAATCAAATTAAGTTAATCTCTATAAAAAAGTGCTTCGTTTGTCCGTTAGAGGGCATCAAACTTTAAAAAAATAAACACAATTTTTCAGATATTTTAAGAACCGTTACACCGATTTGAATAACATTTTGAGTGTCTATGTTTTGCTAATAGTCTAAGAGCTGGCTACATAAAAAACCTTATCATCGTTACATGGCTAATTTTTGGTGTGAAGTATCCTTTTGTGTAGCCATTATGAAATAGGCATGTCTGCCAGCGCGATCCCGGGGCTTAAAGCGGGGGCGGCCAATCGAAAGGGTGAAATTTTGACACTAAAATATTATAAGATACATGAGTTATAATTGCGAAAATAGCTTTTATTTATTATTAAGAAAAGTGGAAAATTGTCGGCAGACATTTTTCTAGTCGCTGAAATGCCGACAGACAAAGCGAAAAAGGCATGAAATTTAAAATTATTAAAAAAATGAAATTTGAAGAATGAAAAAAATTATGGCATATTTGCATTCCTATTGGTGAAATGTCATATTTATTTATTTTAAAAGCCGTATGCAAAAGGGCAGACAAAAAGATCGTGGCTCAATCAGCTGCAGACAGTTATCAAACGCGCTTTATTCAGGGAACGCTGGCCGCCTCATCCATTTAAGTATACATAGATAAATCATATAATATACGATTATTTTATAAATATATTTTTTTATTATTTCAAAAACGATTTTTTTGTCTGCCCTTTTGCATACGGCTTTTTAAATTAATTAACAATAAACATGACATTCCACCAACCGACATGCATGTATGCGATGATTTTTCTTTATCAAAATTCTATGCCTCTTTCGCGTTGTCTGCCCGGCATTTCAGCCACGAGAAAAAATGTCTGTTAACAATTTTTACACGTTTCCTAATTTTAGCATAAAAAGCTATTTGGCAATTATAACTCGTGTACCTATTGTACTTATTTATGCGTGTATAATATTTTCAGTGTCAAAATTTCACCCTTTCGACTGGCCGCCCCCGCTTTAAGCCCCGATCGCGCTGCTGAACATGACTATGGTTCTTCACAATGGTTACACAAAGGATACTCTTCACACAAAAAATTGGGGCCATGTGTAACGATGATAAGGTTTTATGTGGCCAGCTCAGTCTATAAGTCCTTTAACATTTGACTTTCACAGAAATCAAGAAAAAGTACGAGGAGGGTGAAATCTACCCCCACCCCTGCAAAAATTTTAGTACAAATAATATCCAACACAACCGAAAACCGATTTTTTTTCTCGTAAATGCTCCCTCTAGTATTTACTTTATTTTTTGTCTCTTGTAAAAAAAACACTACCGCGCATACTTTTGAGGAAATAATTGTTTTTTCTGAAGCTGGCTCTCAAAAATGTTTTTGTCACTATGGAAGCGCATATAATCAATTATACCCTTAATAATCTAATTGGTGAAAATATGGAATTTTATGATTGTATCACAAATTATATTTGAGAATAAGCTTCATAAAAAGCTTAAAAACTTAATAAAATTTAAATTAATTAACGTTCAAGATTATTTTTGATTGATGCCTTCTAACGGACCAACAAAGCCCTTTTGTATAAAGGTGAATTATGTGCAATTCACTTATTTTGATTCAAATAAGACGTAGTTGTTCCACAGGTTTGTTCTATGTCCACAGAATATTTAAACTCCCTTATATTCTCAAAGTCTGCTTTAGAAAAATAAATTCTCAGAATTTTTTTTTTCAAAAACTATGCGTTGTGACGTTTCTGATTGTGATGAAGAGACCATTTTACAAAAAGAAGATCTGTAGTCAGTGGAGTTGGAAAATATTTATACTCAAATTTATGTAGGGGTGTGGGTAGTTCTATCCTCCCCATATTTTTTTTTTTGATTTTTGTGAAAGTCAAATCTTAAAGCACTTGGCAAAACATAGACACACAAAATCTCATTCAAATCGGAGTAACGGTTTCTAAAATACATCTGAAAAAATGTGTTTATTTTTTTAAAGTTTGTTGCCCCCTAGCGGACAAATGAAGCACTTTTGTATAGAGGTAAATTGTATCCAATGGACTTATTTTGATTCCAACAATACGCAGTAGTTCTATGTCCACGGAATATTGGGACACTCTGTATATACGTGGTAGAGCTGGTAGAGATTTCATATCCCTGCATATTCTATCCATAATTCCATTAATTGGAAAAGTCAAATAAATAATAAACAATTTTGGAGATTTGCAAATGAAAATTCAGAAAATCAAAGTGCATACATTGTTTCTTCGATCTTCGATCTTTGAAAGGTATTTCTGCATCAAATCAACTCACGCCTCGTAAATTAATGTAATCACTTTAGGCACGTATATCTGGATTAAGAAGGTGTAAATGACTTCACAAACTTCCTTATTACCTCCTAAATATTTATACTTATAAAAATTATACAAAGAAATATACTAGGTACAGGTTTTACAACAAGTTTTAATGTTTTAAATTAACGTGTCAATTTAAAAGATATCTAGGTGATCTAAATATTTCTTTAAACTTAAGAACATCTGGATTATTATTGTATGAAAACTCGACTGAAAAAGAACTAAATGTTATCAGTTCTATTATAAGTTTTTTTTCCATAACAGTATTGAGCATAAAGCGCACATTACTGGAAATAGCAATTATTAGATTGTTGCTTATTACATATAACCGATTGAAAAAAGGGCGTCAGAGAAACCCTCTCTGAAGAAAACCCTTTCGGAAGTGAAAGTCGCTCTAAAATTATTTTGGACATGTCTAGTGATGAGCAAATGAAGGGGTGGCTGCAATAACCAAGCAGCTCCATTTTAATGAATTTGTGGGAAACAACCAAACAAAAATGAGCTGCTTGGTTCTTACTGCAAACCAGCTACAACTAACGTCGCCATTTATGTACTGTTATACTGAGAGAACTGATTGTTGTAGGAAACGATCGGCCAATTATTTGAAAGGGTAATTCATTAAAAATCTCATTTTCGAAAAAAAGTGGAGCTGCCTGGTTATTGCAGCCACCCTTTCAAATGCAAGATCAAGAGACTCGCGAATATGGCGTATTGTTGGCGGCTACCATGAATCACATAGAGACCTTTTTGTTTTATTTTTTATTTGAAAAATTATAGGGGAGGGGTAATTATGTAAAAAATTCGTTACTTCTTGTCAGTTGTTATTATCTAAAAAAATTAGCGCCGGGAGGCACGTATAGCCGCCCATACTAAAATATGTTAATAAAAAGTTGGTCGGCAGTTAGTTTCAAAGTAAAGGCATTTTTCCAATTTTTTTTATCTCAGAAACGTTTTGCTAGCTACTGTAATTTTGGAGTTACGATTTTTTAAAATTTTTAACCCCCTCCCATAACCCCTTACCAACCCCCCACCCCCCAAAAACTAGCCAGATTCTTGGGTGCCACAGTATTTTTGTGCAAAATTTGGTTAAAATCGGTTTAGCGGTTTTTAAGTTATCGTGTTATACACAGACGGACAGACAGACAGACAGACACCCAGACACCATGAAAATATTTTGTATTTAGGTCATTTATGACCCAAATAACTCATTTTGAGTGAAATTAAAAAAAACTTTTTTTTGCCGATCTGAATAGCCTACTACACCTGTGGTATGGTCGACTAAAAATGAGATATAAATAAAAAAACGAGAAAAAATTGCAAAATCTTGCAGACTGCAGGTCTTGATCTTTCAGGTTTAATGTTTTAGTCATATTACAAACTATTAATTTTATTTATAATTTAAGAAGGTTGAGGAGATCTAAAGGGCTAAGATAATAATTGTTATGAATCATCTGTGTCGTTAATGTCACATTTGTCTTTAACACAATACTCCGTCGTTTCTTTGAATGTGTTAGACAATGTTTCAGTATTGTTACATGATAAAAAAACTTTGGGTGTCCATTGTCTTTATTTATTTTAACTTACACAACGTTTCTGTCATTTGAATCACCGATATCAACTAGAAACAAATTTTAAATCCTAAAACTGTTAAGCTTATATACTAGAGCACGACATTCGTCCATTAAAATGTTTGGTGCATTCAAGCGTCCAATGGGGATCGTGATATACAACGCGGGCTTCCGACCATTTCATGTTGCGTTGCTTGGATCACACATGATCCGCAATATCTGACTTGATTGTTTTACCTCCTTACGTATGTTTTTTAAGCTCGTTAAGTTGTACACATAGAGGAGGTTCTCACCGTGACATTCTGAAGCAAATCCATTTTTAAATTATGTCACTTTAGGGTTTTCGTTCGGTGGCATATTGTTTTTACTTGACAACATAACGACTTAACGCTCGGCGAACTCAGTCATGAAGCGTTCTGGTGTTTTCCCATTTTTCACACAAAATCTGCATTCGCCGTTATATATCTTAGCTTCAGAGGTGTTTGTTGGGGAGACAGTGTCCTGTTTAAAAACCCGTGACAATCCGAAGATTGTTCTTACTTAAATCGAGGAAAATATTTGATTTTTTTCGGTTGTAAGTTTTCAGAAATTTCTTCGAATATTTTAAACCGTTGGATGATTCCCATTCCAGGGTACGTATGGAGTCTTCCATGTTCTTGAGTTCAGCTTTAAGTTGGTTTCCGCTTGGAAAGCAGAACGGTTTTGGTCCAGTTAGTGTAGTGTTCGCTCCTTTTCTAGCTGGATCATTTGCTTTTTCACTGTCTTCTATCCTTTGGGGAGGTCGCACCCAGAGTAGGAGGACTTTATATCTTGGCGTAATTTGTTCACCTTCTCTAGGCATTCTTTGACCAACTTCGAATTGATGGTTACTGAGTTGATCGCGTTTAGTGCTGTTTGACTATCGGATAAGATAGCTATTTCCTATTTCCGATGTTCATATCTAAGATAAATTGTACGCATCTTTCGATAG